TGAATACTATACCAAGTCAAATGTTCAAGTGATGTGAAGATTCTTCAAGCTCCTCTATTTTATTTATTTTATTATTTTCTGTACAACAGTTGACAAAATTTTGCTGATTTAGTGGAGCTGATATGAAATTAGTGACATGGCTAGTTTTAAAGGGGCACATGTGCTCTACCTTAAATCTTGACTACCTAAAAATGATAATTTTTTTATGTTTAGTTATAGCTTACATATTTAATTTACAATTTTTTAGATTTTTTAATTGTTTCTCCATTTTGAAAGTTGCTATTTAAATTATTTTCTGTCTTGTTAACATAAAAATGTAGATTCGTATTATTGTTGATGATGATATAAGTCATCTCTAGCTATAAAAGCTGTAGTTTTATAATAAGTTGTTGCCTTTGCAAGATAAAATTATAAGTTATGATTCAATTAAGAATTAATGAAAGGGATACGAAATTTTAAAATATATTCTCATCAATTTTTTTAATGGGTTGAAATTTCATGGTATGTAAGTCCAATTTCGAACATTGGAGGAAAAGATGATGAAATTCCTCAATTTGGAGTGTGACCGAGTCTTTGTTGAGGCTATTCCACTGTCTTTATTATAATGGACTATCATAATTCTGGTGCAACCAATCAACAACTTCCACGTATTAATTTCGAATGCCTTTTATGTTTACATAATATTGTAATTTGTCATATTGGAAATATTTTAGTTTTGACATACAGTAGGTGACTTCACATAATTTTCAAGTAATTAACTTTGCATGGGTACAAAATAATTAATCCAAATTATCCCCTCTCATTCCATCTCTTCTATTGGAACCAAAACCATTGCATTGGAACCAAATTACATGTTTTCAAGCAAAAAGAAAACAATAAAATTACATAAAAGAAAATATCAAAAACTACTCAAAAATAAATAAACTTAATAAATCTATAACTCAAACTTTAAAATTACTGACATATAATACCATAAAATGCAGATAACTAAGGGTTTGTTTTTAATAAATTTCCTAAATTCATACTCAACTTTTTTTTTTTTTTCAATTCATACTCAAAATCTAACTCAACTCCACTATCTTCAATATTATCAATATAATTAAATAATGTCAATCAATCATTCTTACATATCACATCAACTTCAATCCACTATTCATCTACTAACATAATTTTAACTAACCATCACTTCACATCATCTCACTTATACTTTTATATCAAATCAACTTTAATTATTTTGTTTTAGATATTATTTTAATATAAACTCAAAAAATATCACTAATATTATATTGAACATACCACTTTTTCCAAAATTAACATTGATAAACAAAAAAAAAAACTCATTTTGAGCGGATATATTTGTATCCAAGCACACCCTAAAACACAGACATGTACATACACATGCATCAAACAACAAAACCACTGGTTGCAAAAATTACCCAGCACTTTTCAGTACAGAACAAACCGATGTACACGTCGACTCTAAACATTCCCGATTCAAGAAATTACGAGTCGTGCTGGCCAAACAGAAATCGAATTATTATAGCAATTGTCACGTTTCCAGGCGAGTTGTTCTTACAACATCTTTAACAATGTTTATCACCTTTTCTTCCCTTTGTTCTTTCCTTTGACCTGTTTCTCTAAGCTCCTAATCTTTTGGCTTAGAATGGATGAAGATGGTATTTTGTGATTTCCAGGTTTTGGTGATGGCTTGTCGGGTGGAGATGCAAAATGTTGTTGTTGTTGTTGTCGTTGTTGGGCTTCCCCGTACTTCATTAGCATTTCAGAAAATGAAAGGCCCGATTTTAGATGGGCCGAGGGCGGTGGGACCACAGGTATAATCGGTATGCCCAATAACTTCTTCACTTCAGGCTTCCTTAGCACTGATCCATTTTTTTTATTTTTTTTTTTTGTCAAACAATGGANGAACCTACCTTCTCAAAATCGAATGTACCCAACGATATGTATTTTCTCTTTACTGATGCATCTATTTAGGCGATAATTTGTAAAACTAACACAAATATATCCCCTACAGGCTATAAGGTAAGGGTACTTCTAATGCTTTAGAGTAGTTTTTCCATAGTAACTCCAATAAACTTTTGTGATGGGAAACTTAAATGGGACTCACCTAGCGAATATGCGATAGAGAACAAGTTGGAGGGGAACCAATAGCAAAACAGAGCCTGCACAAGCACATATGGTAAAATTAATGCAATTGCGTGAAAACAAATTATCACGACTGATCTGAAGGGAACTAAACATGGTAGAACTCGTGAAAAAAACTCGTGAGCACATACCTTTGGGAAATTTGCAGTGAGAGGAACTGTCAAAACTGCAAATATTCTCCACAAATTTTTAATAATGACAGCAGTAAGGTTGCCTGCCGGTCCTTGCATATTCAACTGTAAGGGAAAATTGGTTAGAACTCATACATATATATAGATAAAACACTAGGCAAAATATAATTATGGATCAACACTCTTAAGATATCAAATACTGTGAAAGAATCACTCTTAAGTAGCACGAAAACTCGATAGATTGCAACATAAATCAGCAACATGTGATAAAAGATAATATTCCTTATATTTATCAGTTCATTAGTCCAAATACAATAGTGAAGAGAATTTAGACGAACAGCCATTGGAGCAACTTTATAATCATAGCTTGACAAATACCAAGTATATCTAACCTCCAGATTAATCAAAAATGCCAATGCCGTTAAAACGGGGAAAATATATGTGGTATCTGGAGTAGTCAAATCAGTAAACCACAATATCCCTCCCTGACTAAAAGAGGGAACGTTTCCTGCCATGTTTTTAACCTGCGGACAGTGATGACACGGAGTTTTCAATTACTGATAGAATAACGAAGGAAGATTAATAGAAAAGAGATGGGCATAATGTCACATACTACTGAAAGCACAAGGAATGTGATCTTACAGCGAAAAAGTAACAGCAAGAGATTGGAAATGTGATTAGAAATCCCATCCAAGAACCGAATGGTGTGACACCATATCTACATAAAATAAACAATGATTCTAATCCGAGTATTGTACACACAAGTACTTAAAAAACAAATGAAGTTTTTTATCATATAACTTGTGACAAAAAAACATATTTAGTCTAAGGCTACATTCATATGCACACACACACACACGTTTTCTCTTTTTTGTGAGCTGCAATATTCAGCTTTTCAAGTAAAGGTTACATTCCTGTTTTTATAGATACCATGTGAAAGGGAAATAAGAAACATTTACAATGCCCTCACAACTAGGAGTACGGGAAAGCTACATACTTCTTGAGTAGTACTTTTGTCCGTGCCCGACCTTCGGCCGGACTCATACCCTGGAAACAAACAATGAATGGCAATCAAAATTATTAAGAAAACAGACCACATGTTCATTTCTTAAAGAGAAAATATGAGGCTGATGGCCATACCCTGATTCGTACGTCTGCCTTAATCATCTCCAATAGTGGTCTTAAAAGCTGCACAAGAAATAAGTTGGTATGAGAGAGTGACGCAAAAACTGCAAAATATAGATAGAGAGTAATAGCATTGCTATATGCATTTAGCACAACATAGGATGAGTGCACACTCACACACACACCAAAAAAAATGGAGAAAAAGAAGACGAAGAAGGAAGGTAAACCTCAATTAAGATGTTTGTTTTTAGGTCATTAGTTTTCCTTTCTTGTGTTGTTGAAATCATCTTGAAACGGTAAACTGAGTGTACAAGTTTTATATTTAGGCGAATATTCCTCCTTTGTTTGGTTAGGTCCATGATGGGGTAAAAGTGGTAATTACTGCACTTTAACGGTACGGGATTCTTATACTTATCTCTTGTTTATCTATTGGCCGAAAAGGAAAACCAAGGCAAGAATATAAGTTGTAGGCAATCTTGAGTTTCTTCTGTAAAATGGTTAAGATGGTGCTTGTTTCACGTCAACAAATGTTTTAAGAATAATCAAGTTTAATCACAGTATAGCATGATCTGAAGAAATAAGTCGCTAAAGTATCGGGAATAACAAACTATATTTAGATAACCCCAAAAACTCAATAAGGTAAACAACATGTGCAGAACTTACAGCAAACCTCGTACTGGACTTTATTGAGTGAATCGTGAGAGGAAGTTGAAGACAGCGAAGCAAAAGAGTTGTCGCACCAATCGATGCCCACCTAAACACAACCGAATCCAAACCATCAATCACTTTACAAAAGCGCATGGATATCCAACCCAAAAGAAAAAATCACAGCTCCATTGAAATTACACGGTATAATTATCACAAAAGACAACCAATCCAGATTACAATTATGAAAAGGAATAATCACACTGATCAATCACATGAGTTTCTAAAGCACAGCATATTTCTCAGTTTTCCATCAAGCAAAGCCAATGCTAAGCCAAATGTAATACCACAAAGCTCAACCGAAACATTTACTTATCAAATCACACTCCACATTCAAGAAACTCCATCGGTATTTCAAATCAAAGTATTTTCACAGGACAATAATGAAATTTAGAAACTTATAAATGCTATGTCATCCTCACCAACTAAGCCCAGTGTAACAGTGCACGTAATCAATCAAATACTGGAGAGCGGCCACCGGAAGGAACGAGTCAGCTGCTGCAATCGCCACCTCATTCGCCACCGGGCTAACTGCAATCCCCACCTCATTTGCCATCGGGCCCACCTCCGAAACAACCTCGGCAGATTTATCCCCCAAAACATCCGCCATGTCGGTCATTACCTCGATCTCTTCAGGCTGCTCGTCTCCCAGACTCGACATGTTCCGAGTAAAAACCAGCCCACAAGCCGCTGGAACAGCAAATCTCCGATTCTGAAGCAAATCCCTAGACCTATTAAACGGGCCCATGATGCCTACGCTCCCAAACGTGCCATTCTTGGGGTAGCTGGACACATTAGGGTTTCTCGAAATGGGTTTATCGAGCAGAAGGCTTTCGCGATCGTCGTCATGGAGATGAGGGTTTGAAAATGGAGCTACGACCGTCTGCTGTTTGTAAAGCAGCTTGGCTCGTGCAGTGACGCTTCGCCTGAACGCCATTCGCTTTGCTTCCAACGAGGAAAATTTGAAACAGAGTACGAGGATTTAATTGTTTTCAGCTGAGTGACGAAAATAAAATCCCTAATGTAGCTTTGATTTGTCCCCCAAAGGATTCAAAAAACTGTGATCCGAGACGAGAAGGGATCTGTTGATGAAATGACGGAATCATAACGCACGAAGCTGTTTGTGCAGCCAAGCGAGATACTATGAAATGAGTGGGTTTTAGGAGTGGTTTTACCGGTTTGAGGGCCACCGCCGACCGGATGTGGTTTCCTGGTCGAGTGGGGATAGCGCAAACACTCGCACACGCCCATCGAAATACACCTTAAGCCCACATAGCCCTAAATCGGCCTTAGCCCAACCTTCAAGCCCACTGGTGTCGCAATACATAGTGTGTCTCACGTCTTAATTGCTAACAGATCCCTACCCGACTTGGGTCAACGGGTCTACCCATGATTCGAACCGACTAGGATGTTCCAATGGACCCTACATGTAGCCTCAAGCCATCCCCACGTGCCTCTCGCATGACTGGTGCATTCCCCTTTGAGACCACTACTTCCCCCAATAAGGGAAAAACGATAATTACAGAATCTACCCATTGAACCTTGAAAATGTTGATTATTGCACAAGTATTCGTTGTTTACTGGAATGTTTGATTGAACCTCATTCAACCCAAAATGCCTAACGTTGGCTCTGTAACTCGAGTCCAACTCAAGATGGCCCGAAACCTCCTAATCTTTTAAGCATCCCTCCCTTACTTGACGTCGCACACACAGTTTGCCGACGTCTGTCGTACCTTGGCATAGTAAAGGTAATGTGCCAAGCGAACCTCAAAGTTAGATTTGTAACACTAACTATTATGCAAGTAGATTTGTCAAACTCTACTATGAAACGTTATATCTAATAAAAAGTATATTTTTTTATAAAAATAATATATCAATTAGTCAGCCTAATACGAGACATACTAAATCAAACATATTTAGAAAGTTATATAACACATGAGTTGGGCATTACATTGGTTTACTAAATCAAATATATTGACCAACTTATATAACAAATGAGTTGGGCACTTGATTTGGGTTCAAGATTCACAATTGATGGTGTAAATTAGTCCAAAACTATATATTAGTGCAAAATATAATCACCAAACTCTATAAGTTACTACTTATGTTGGAAGCTCTTGTAATCATATATAGATAATATGTTAATTTAGTTTAAGTTGCTTTGGTGTAATTTTGGTGTGGGATCATTGCAATTTCACATTCACAAGTTATGAAGAGGTTATAATGTTATTTCATCAATCATACTAAGTTATCTTACAATTATAACGGTCCACAATATATTTAGTTGGACGAATAATTCATGTACAAATAAGTTTGACGACGCAATTGTGTGTATTATCATGTCTAGTCAATTATGTTGCGCCTCAACGCATTTTCGGGAGAACATCTCGCTTTGAATTCGAGTTAAAAGGCCGACCTCGTAATTAAATAATTAAAGCCAATTTATTATGTAAAATCATATTTTTTAACTTAATTTATCTTTCATAAATCACTTATTAACGGTCAACCAATTTCGATTGTCAACAAATATCAATAACGATCAAAGGAGATTCATGCTCTGACCATTACCAAAAAATTACCAAAAAGAGAAGAAAGAAAAAAGGGAGACAATCCTTCTATAAGAAGGGCCCTATCGCCAACAAAGCCCGGTTGAAATTAAGTGGATGTATGAACAAATAAGTTGTGGTTTATAAATCTAAACTCGACTGGTTAAGATTAATAGTTTAATATTGATAAACGGATCGAATTCGAGTTTAATTATTGACTCGTTAACTTGACTCGACTCGTTTACATTTCACATAGCCCAAAAATTGTTCCCCATATTGGCGGGAAAATCCCCGTACATCCCAATTTTTTTGCTGCCAAAATTTGCCCCTTTCGAATATAAGGAACCCTAACGCTGTAACTCGCAGTCGGACACTCGTCACTGAAAAAATCTCACCACCTAAACGTCATCTCGAAGGTAATTTCACTGTCGTTTATCACATCCGCCCATTTTGTGACCCTACAGTACAGGGCTCTTTCCTCGTTACGTACGTACGGTTATCGTTGCTGTAGATTCGTGAAGCCTTTTGTGCTCGATTTTTGTTTTGTCTGTGGTTGGCAATTCTATCGACAATGGAGTTGATTTTGTATTGTTTTGGTGGGGTGTTTGTAGGAAATGGCTGACGCGTTTGACGACGAAGTTGATGCGGAGCCCACGATTTCGATTGGCGATTACCTAAAAGCTGTTGAGGAAGAGGAGCTGGTGAGTGATTTCCTTCTGCGGTTAAAGATTATCGTGTCTATTTAGTAAAGAATGGAACATGGGATTACGATTCTAGGGTTGATGAACCTGCAAGATGAACAACAAATTTGTGTTGGGGGTAAAGTAAGCGTTAATTGCTGTTGAAATGCTAGTTTATTTTGGTGGTGACATCCCAAAGGAAGGATATATCGTGGAGATCCATTGAGCTTGATCTAATTTTCAGTAGTAAGAAATCTGCAGAATGCAGTTATGGTGATTGTGGCCTGGGGCGGATGTTGAATTTTTTAATAGGGGGCAAAAATGATAGATATACAAATAATACTTCAAACATGCAGAGCTATTCGTTCATTTTTTATTTTTGTATTCCGTTTATTATATAAATCTAGCATAGCCTAAGCTCTTATTTGAGTTCGAAACCCAGTTCATGAGCTGGTTTGTTTTAAGACTGTTACTATTATTATCTGATTCTATTTATTTAAACAAGTTGAGCCTGATTAGTTAAACTTAAGAGCCAGCGCTCAATCTAGTTTGCTTTAAGGTTAGCTTCCAGACAAATAAGCTTCAATAGTGGTTATCGGAAAATTTGTTCTAAAAGAAGGAAAAAAAAGCACTTCAAATTCATATTATGCTTAGTGGGAGATTGCCCCACATATACTTAATGATTCAATCGATCTGGTGCTATTTAGTTTGTTTGTTAACTTCTTTTGTTTCCGTGCTATCCTTTTTTATTTGTTTTTGACTGGTTGGTCCGTATTTTTCCTCCTTCCTTTTCTCCACATAAATATGTTGTAAAGGAAGCAGATTTGGTTCTTGGAGGCGATGAAGGTAAGGAGTGTACCTACAACAAAGGATACCTTAAGAGGCAAGCTATTTTCTCGTGTTTGACCTGCACACCTGATGGGAACGCCGGGGTTTGCACAGCTTGTTCTTTATCCTGCCATGAGGGCCACGAGGTATGTGTAAGGTCGTAACTTTGTTTTGTCACTAAAAAGTTTGGTACACGTAAGGTCACAGTAACTTTTGTTCTTTCTTTTACTGTAAAGTTTGTTGAACGCCAATCATTTATCTGGGTGAGTTTGGCAATAAATTAGCCAGGGGATTGACTTCCAATGCTGTTTGCACCTACAGTTTTCTTTCAGAGACTTTGCTCGTTCTTCTGAATTTTGCATGTGAGATTGACATACTATGATTTGTGTTTCTTATCGTTCCCAGTGCCAGTGATTTTTTTTTTTTGGCATAGATATTTACACATTGCATAAATAATGTGATTAGTGGGTACTCATTTGGGTTAGTATTCTCATTCAAAGATACATCACTTTAAAACCCTCCGGAGAACAGTTGAAAATGAGTTTTCAAGTTAAGCAATGAGTTGTTATTGATAATATTGTTTATTCCACTTTATATATTGTATGGGTCGTTATTGTGTTTCTGAGTGTAAATTTGAAGTTTTTTGAACTTCAATAAGGACATCTAAACATATGAATGTTTTTCTATTTTCAGTTGTCAGATTTGATGTCATTTATATCATTCATAATCTTAATTTTTTGCAAATCGAGTTACTCATAATTTGTCTTTGATTGTTATACTTTTCTATTTGAACTAGGTTCTGGAACTATGGACCAAAAGAAATTTCAAGTGTGACTGTGGGAACTCAAAATTTGGTGAGTTCTTCTGCAAGCTCATGGCAAGCAAAGATGTAGAGAATTCATCCAATAAGTACAACCACAATTTCAAGGGAACTTACTGCACATGTGATCTGCCATACCCTGATCCAGATGTCGAAGAACAAGTGGAGATGATTCAGTGTTGTGTTTGTGAGGACTGGTTTCATGAGGAGCATATTGGTCTTCAGCCTGATCTCAAGGTTAGCATCTCTTACTGTCATTGTCTCTGGAAAGATAAAAAGTGCCAAGTGTTGTCAGCACTTGTAGTCGTAGGATGCAAATATTGGTTGATAAAAGTGTTCTTGTCAGAGTAACTGGGATATCTATGGCATAAGAGTTAATGTGTGTTGTCTTACTGGCCCAATCAGCACTGAAGTTATATTTTCTTTTAGTAAACGTCAAGTAACATGGTGTCTCAGAAAATACAGATATCAGCCCGTACACACACACTTGTAGTCACTAGAGAAATTGTTCTTTCTTGTATCATGTCCTTTTGCTTCAGCTTAATACAACCATATAGTTCCATTCAATCACCTGTTTGCGGCAAATTATTTGAGGGAATCCTCTTCTTAGGTGTTCGGTGAGCTTGTTTTTATTTCTCAGACAATATATCACGGAATTTTTGAGTTCTTATTTTCTTGTCCTTTTCTATACCCATGTGGCTTTTCTAACGTCACATAAATATTAATGTATCATTTTGGCATCCACCACCAGTAAGATTTGTACTTTACTGAGGTGGCAAGAAAACTTCTTTCATCTCATACATTGTCATGTAATTTGCTGGGACAGTTCCATTTATTTCTGCAAAAATTTGTCATTTTTATTTCTGTTTTACAACTTGGAACTTATATTCATTCTTTATTTTTTTGGTCATAATATAGATCCCTAGGGATGAAGAAGGCGAGCCTCTATACGAGGACTTTATCTGCCAGGGGTGTGCAAAACTCTGTTCTTTCTTGAGTTACTATTCCCAAATCATCTCAGCACCAAATACTTCAGATATTAGTACTTCAGGTGCTCTGAAGGAAAAGGCTGTTTTGGAAAACAATAATTCGGTATCAGCAGGCAATCATGAGAACAGCAGTTGTTCCCTTGAACCGAGCAGCTCGAGCAATGTTAATTCCAATACTGCCCCTCCAGAGGCTAACAATATAGAAGGTGCAGCTAAGGAGTGTACTGAAGTTGCTGGCCAGAGTAGCGAATGCATTTTCGAACGCCTGGTCGGGAAAGGTGTCCCACAGTCTGCTGAAAATAATAAGCCGCTTTTTCTTTCTAAAAACTGGAGGGAAACACTCTGCACTTGTGGAAAATGTTCAGAAATGTATGCACAGAATGGAATTAGCTTCTTGCTCGACAAAGAGGATTCTATTGCCGAGTATGAAAAAGTGGCAAAGCAGAGGCGGAGTGAGAATATGCAGAAACAGGAGGGTGCGGAGATGAGTTTTCTCAATAATCTCGGCCATGTTGAGAAGATGGAAATACTGAGTGGGATTGCGGATATGAAGAACGAGATATTTTCATTCCTGGTACGTTTCGAAAATGTTAAATGTCGTTGGATTTCCTTCATGAATTTGTGGAGAATGTTTTTTNAATTATGTCTTCTTTATTATTTTTTTTTATTTTTATTTTTTACTTTTTAATATCAGGAGTCGTCCGACCCCTCAAAGCCTATCACGACTGCAGACGTGCAGCAGGTTTTTGAGAATCTCGCCAAGAAGAGAAAGCGTACGGATTAAAGTAATAATCCAGCCTGTAGTTTTAACTTTTAACTGGTTTGTGTGAAGTAATAATTCAGCTTTTTAACTAGTTTTTAACTTTTTAACTGGTTTGTGTGAATCTATCCTGCTGTTGTTTGTTCTTGAGCATCCAACTTTAAGGTTTTATCTGGGCTTGTCAGTGGTTTTACTGCACTACGATTATGAAGGTTCTTTGAACTATGGTTATTTTGTGAGTATTTGTAATAATCTCTATATATATGCGTTATATCGAGCTGATAAACAAGATTGAGTTCAACTCGTTTCTTGAAATTAACAATTCAAGCTTGAACCTTGACAAACAAAACTAAAGTATAGGGGTGTCCAGTCCACGGGCCGGGTCGCGGCACGGCTGGTTCACGGGTCGCAATTTCATGACCCTTGACCGACCCGCATTTTCTAAGGGCCGCGGGTCTAAACCGCCCGTCATTCAACCCGCCGACCCGACCCGGCCTGCCGAGACAAAAAAAAAATAGCGAATCTTAACCGAACCGCGGCCCTTAGGAGGCCGGTTTAGGGCCGGTTCGGTCTGGGCCAGGACCGGTTCGCGTGTCGGTTCGCGGGTCGGTTTCCGGGTCGGTTCAGCCCGTGGACATGTCTACTAAAGTAATAGTTTAGGAAATTATATAATTAAACTTCTATATCTCGAGTCAAACAATCTTTTGAGAGCTTACAAGCGTTTGGTTCGTTTAACAACACTATTTGCATGGACATGCCAATTATATTGTATTTTGGGTTTTTAAGGCATGATTGGATATAAGTTATTTTGGATTTATTGAATTTGTTGGATAATTAAAATTAATTTTGAAAATGTTGATTAAATTAGTTTTGAGTAATAATTTGTGTTTGCATTAAAATAATATTTAAAATATAATAATTAAAGTTAATTTGATTTAAAAGTAGAAGATATGTGATTGAAAGTAATAGATAATTAAAATTATGTGTGTGGATGAATAATGTATTAAAGTTGATATGATGTGTTGAAATGATTGATTGATACTATTTAATTATATTTATAATTTTAAAAAAAGTTGAGTGAAGTTAAATTTGGATTGAATTTTGAGACCTACGAGATGGTTTGAGTGTCAAAATACTGATTAAAATGTAAGTCAAAGTGTTGTAAGTTAAACTGTTGTATGTGGATATGAATGAGTAAAATTGAATTGAAATTAGATAATCGAGCTCAAGTGTGTAAATTGGTGCGGTTTGATTATGTTAGTTTAATGTATAAATGTTTTGATTCGACCTCAAATTATTATTATTATTATTATTATTGTTGTTATTATTATTATTATTATTATTATTATTATTATTATTATTATTATTGGATTTGGTTATATATTTGTTTTACAAGTTCTATTTTTTTGGATTCGGTATAATTTAGTACTGCTCGAATTGATTATTATATTGTAGAAAACTTATGATTTGGTTTCTATTTGATTTTTTTTATATATATATCCTATATTACCATACAATACAATTTAAAAATTTGACGATTTTAATATATACATTGTCGAAAACTTATGATTTGTTTCTATTTGAATTTTTTTATATATATATCTTATATTACCATACAATACAATTTAAAAATTTGACAATTTTAATATATGTGCGTTTTATACCAAATGGTAGTCATTCGACAATAACGCGAAGAAGCGTTGTTTGTATACGCGTTCGCTAAAGTTGCTTAACCGCCTTTTCTGTCCCATATTTCCAAATCGTGAGTGCAAATATTATCTCATTATCTTCTCTGTTTTTTCCTCTCCTGAATTTTAAACCCTAATTTGTTGCCCAATCGAACTTTTCACCTAGATTGCGACTGCGAGTTCGATTTGCAGGTAATATTTCTTCTCAATTCGGGTCCTCTCTTTAGATCATCTCCTATCATACTTGTTCGCATTTATTATTTATAATTTACACTCGCTTTCCTGGTAGCTTGTTCGTGTTTAAATGTAAATCCTCAACATGATTGTTTTCCTGTCGTACGACGTTGTACGACCTTTATTATTGATTTAACTTACATTGAGAGATGTGAATTTATGTCATTTGATGTTTTATTTCTTGGTTGCTGTTTGAAATTACGTGATGAAATAATTATTTGCTCGACTGTTTTTTTTTTTCATGCCTTACAGAATACAGATGGCAGCTAAGCCCTTAACAAGCGAAGCAATTGCTCTAGCTGAGAAGAAAATAAATATGAGATTGCTTGTTTTATGAATTTATGTTTGTGATGGTTTTAATTTTTCTTACGTGGCAACTCAGATGACATTATCAAAATGTCTAAGACTCGTGATAAGAAGCATAAGAAGCAAAGAGTTCCGGTAAGATTAATTCTTGAATTTGATATCAAGTCTCCATTGCTGGGTTGATTCTGAATTTGCTGCGATACCTGCAGAATAAGGGTCAGAACAATGTTTCTCAAGATAAGTCTTCAAAAGTTCGGAGATTTATGGACACGAGATCCTCGATGAGACAGGTATGTCTCAAAGCCTTAGGGAGCTATCTTGTGGTGTTCTGTGTAAAGTAGCTGAGGCCACTTATATATTTATTTATTTTAGATTGTGTAATTTTTGGTTCTATTCTGACAGGGTGCTCTTGCAAAGCGGAGGACAAATTTTCAGGGAAATCAGTTCCCTCTGGCTGCTGAGGCCGCTAAAAAGGCTGCTGCTGCTCCTATCCGCAGCAGAGCATTCAGCAGAAATAGGCAATTTAATGTGAATACAAGGTAGTTCTACAAGTGATTATGTTTTAAACGGATTGTAGATATCTTAAGTTGCTGTTAGATGGTTACTTGGTGGTGGCTTATGGATGCTGTGCTTTGTTGTAGGTAATTTGTGGATCTTTGTATTGTTTCCTTAGCCTTATGGCCTGCTTTAAGTTGGGTGATGGTATCAGCAGGTGGCTTCTGAGTGTTATGTTAATATATAAAGTGTGCCCAGTCAGCCTTATTACTAGTCAGCATATTATAATTCATCTTCCTAGCAGATGCATCATATAGAGTACAATGAAAGGAGTCTTGGTTGGCTTGTTGCGGCAAAACAATGTTTTCTTGTCATTGTTAAACGAGTTAAGACGTCATGTATGGAAGCTATGAGTAAATTTGAAGTTATGCATTTGATGTCGAGTTCAATCTGACACTTAATCTGTGGCTTTATCCGTGATAGTTTCATGGCATGGAATGGATAGGATCCATGCCCACTCGAGGTTACTAGTTGGGCATTATTGTTTATGTTGTACTTCTTAAGATGCAAACCGTTGTTTGAAGTCTTACACCATGGATGATTCTCGTCAAATTGAAGAAACTGATTTGTTCCAATTTTGATATTGCAATTGTACATGGACAAGTTTGTGCAATTGGGGAACAAAGTATAGTAAATGAAGTGTACACAGATCAAGTCATTGCTTGTAGTCTGTCTGAGTATCTCTTGAGCTTTAGTCGTGTACAACACATTTCATTATTTACACCTGGGAGTTCGACTACTATGCGAACTTCAACTTCTGTGCAGTTTTACTCTATATTTCACATGTTGGTTCATATATGACGTATCTGGATCAAATTGAGATTCATTGTTACTTCACTTCTGGATGGACTATTCAGCTGCCGATCAAATTGAGATTCATTGTTACTTCACGGTGAAGTTGTTTGCCAAAAATATGTTATGAATTTTTGGGTGCTTCTTGGGGTCTGATTAATCTTCTTATCTAGCTTGTGCAATTGGGGAGACCTTTTCCTGCTGAATCATGCACACAGACCCCTTTCACCTTGTATTGAAAAATTCTTGACAAGTTTAACTGAATAAAAGATAATGAGCACATCAGATACTGGGTATAGTTTATATCTTCCTCTTGATTTGATGGTTACAAACTGCAAAATAAAATGGTAATGAGAATGGTGAACTTTTTATGTTTCTTTTGGTTGGTGATGGTTGAGCGTATTCTTGTATTCAGATATACTGGTCAATGTTCTTTCATCTGACATTTTTTTTCCCAGCCCTCAATTTCATTTGTTATTCTTGTGCAGGGTTGAGGTAATGTCTGTCAGGAAGAATTCTGCAAATAGAAGTGGATTTAAGGTGAAGTACTATTGATGGAAGTCTTTATTTTTTGTGATAGTGACAAAATGCATCTTTTTAAAAATAAAATAAAATGGCTTGAATTCTCAGAAGTTCAAACTGCCTTTGAGACGCTGTTGAATTGTTTTTCACGTGAATGGTGATACATGCATGCCACTCGCTGCTTGTAAGAGCTTGTGGTTGTGTTCTACGTAGGGACATTTTATATTTTGCTCCGAGGCGAAGAAAGAAAATAGTTGCAGTATATACCATTTTTCTCGAAAAATTTGAATTTATTTGTTGGTTCCTTGATTTCCCCTTCTGCAGAAACCAGTGCAGCAAACCAATGCAGGCCCCAAGCAGAAGCCTCAGACATTGGACTCTCTCTTTGCTAACATGAAGGAAGAAAGAATGAGGTCAGCCTCTCAACAGAGTAATGGTTCGGGAAGAAATGGTGGGACCCGGCATGTAGTTCCTTGGGCAAGAGGTCATCAGTACAAGTAATACATTGCAGCCCAAGTTTAGTGAAGAGAAACTTTTTTTAGCTCATTTGTATAGTTTGGCAAGATTTTAACTCATGCAGTGTTGGATTCAAATCTATACATTTGACGATCCACGGTGATAAAATAAATATTGTGCTCGTTTGACAATATGTGGGATTTATTCTCTCGTCCATTTTTTTGTATTTTGCCAATTATTGACAGGAGTGCTAATAAAATGTCGGTCTTTCTTGGTGTGATTATCTACGAGCTTATTAAGTGCTATAAACAGGTTCTGTAAGTCTGTATACGCATGGGGAGTGTATTATGAGATGTGTATAATGAATTCTTACATAATATCTTATAAGATGTTGGGCAATTTTCATCAAAAGAGCTTGTAAGGTTTTTTATTACATAAAGAATTCAAGGCTTGTTTTAATTTTTGGTCACGCATTTATAATATTTTTCGTCATTCTGTGTGCATTGTAAAAATCAGTAGTCTAAATAGGATGGAGGTGAAGAGGCATAAAATTTGGATACGGAAAGACAAAATACATATTTTGCTATTAACCCAATTATTAAAGATGTTATAGATCTCTAAATTTTGCAAGAATTTTTGTAGCTTGAGACGTTGGTAATGATAATAATAAATTACTACGTTGGTCAAACCCAAAGAAAGTGTAAAAGTAAGTATTTTATTTTTCTAAAATGTAATAAAGTTTTTAACAACCTATTTCACACAACTCTTTGAAAAATATTTACCTGAAGAATTACCGAGTGTAGGGTGGGTGTAAAGGAGTCGAACTAATTTATCAATATTAACGAATCGAATTATAAAACAGATTATATCAAATCTTAAGATAAAGAAAGAAATTATATCAAATTTTAAGATAAAGAAAGAGATTATATCAAATACCAATCAAATTGATGTCTTCTTCTCGAAGACTCTCTCTCCTACATCTATAAATAGATGTCTTCTTCTCGAAGACTCTCTCTCCTACATCTATAAATAGATGTCTTCTTCTCCAAGACTCTCTCCTACATAAATAGGGCTCTTTTCAATGCTACAAAAACACCTCAAAAAATTCAACCCCTCATAAATCAAAGTCTCAATTCAAAGAGCTCTCAATAATTCTTTAAAAGATCCATATATTCAAGTTGTACAAAAATTTTATGTTTTTCATAAAATTTCTTGTTACAATTAGTTTTATATGATCTCAACTGTTATTTTATATTTTAGGGTAGGTATGATGTTCAAAGATCACGAGATATTGACACATAATTAGTACGCACGCCTTAATATACTCACAATAGTTATGTAAACATTTTGGATGACAATCTTGCTCTCATTCTTATAGTGGTCGCAAGTTAATATTTTCACAAGTTGATGTAGTAAAAAATTAACATACCACGATATAGTGTTCAAATATCAAAATATTTTGGCACATAGCTGGTGACCATATATATTAAGGAAATATTTGAATATAATATTACGATTTTGTATTTTAATAACGATCGTTAAACCATAACCTTTATTTTTTTTTGTTGTGCGACAAATTATATCATACATTTATTTTATATTTTGTTTGTTTCTTTTCTTTACGTTTATAGACGAACCGTCTGCAAACAAAATGAAGATTATGGTATAATTTACGAAAATTCATGATTAAAATGTAAAATCCCCAAAGTTCGTAGTATAACGCGTAATTTTACTTCATCAAATCAATAGTTTATCTATTTTGTGGTAAACAAATAAAATGAAATTAAAGAAGACACCTTTTTTTTCATATTCATATAACATGTAAAATGCGATGCTGCTTTGCAATATAATATAATTTGTGATCATCCAAATCAAATTCAACTCNAACAAAAAATATCTGATAGGCGTGATAATCTTAAATAATTAGCAGTAATTGTTGTGTTTGGCGAGGTTTAATTATGTCATTTTTTAGGTTTAATTAATTATGTGATTCTCAACATGTTTTCCCCACACAACCTTCTTTAACTTTTTTCCGTTGACTTTGGAGCATATAAAATTACTAATTTACTATGTATTATATACTGTGCTGGGTACTTTTATTTATTTATTTGGAATGGCTGATTTTTTGGGTTGATCTGACGTAGAGTGGGGCAAACAATATTATAATAGTAGGAAACATTACTTGTGGAAATGTTTACATAAATTTCACTATTGTTATGGTAAATGGAACTGTATAAAAGCGAATGTGGAAATAAAATATATAATAAGAATTACTATTCACTAAAAATAGTAGTAAAAAATTTAGGAAACATTTAATGCATATCATTTTTGAAAACTTTTTAAATATATACATTAATTGCTTCCATATATACGTTTTCAAATAAGATCAAATAAGATATAATCAAAAAATTACTTAAATATTTTCATTGATATTTATTATAATAAATTAAAATATTAATTTTCCATGATTCATGTTGATAATTTTGGTCAATTATTTCGTTAATATTTGTAATACTTTCATTGATATCCATTATAATAAATTACAAGATTGATTTCCATGATTCATGTTGGTAATATTTTGGTCAGGATAAATATTACACCATATTTTAAGTTCTAACCATAATATAATTTTTTTTACAAATATTCACTTTTTATCCAAAAATATTTATGAAAAATCGTAACAGGTTAGGTAGAATTGTTTTTCCAAGTAATCAGACAAAATCAAGTTGATGAATATTTAATCTTTGCTGGTATATTTATTTCTTAAGCTTTATTTTGTTAAATATTAAAAATAAGTTGTTCTTCAAATTAATATAATTTACCATTTAAGAAATAATGACCATATACATTAAATAGTTTTACTAATGGTAAAAAATTAAAATTAAAATATATTAACTATTTTTCAGAATTTATTTGTATATTATTGGCACCCATGATTATTTTTTTTTCATTTTTTTACTTTAATTTATTTCTATAATTAAATTCTTGTAAAATAAAATATCATTGCAGAGTATGCTAAATAAACTATAAATCCTTATAATGCGAATTAGAAAAATCTTGATCATAGAAGGGATTGAGTTTTTTGTATTTTCTAAATCAAAGTTGTTTAATTAGTATACAAAACTAAATTCTAAAAAACATGTGTATATTTTGTAAAATATTTACACACTATTTCATTTTTAATTTATTTACATATTTTAAATTGATTACATAAATAAATAATATTAACGTGCATTAAATACTTTTCATTACATAAAATAAAAAGAAAAAGAAGACGTACAACTTCTATAACTTTATAAATAATAATGACATTATATGACAACAAAGTTTATAATAAAATAATAATTAAGTATTATACGGGAACAAGAATAAGTAACATTGTTATTCTCTCTTATATCAAGGAATAAATATATATATACTAAAATCAAATTTATATTAGTATAAATGTGTTAGTGAGATAATATATTGATTATTTCACAAGCTAGCCCTAACATGCTCATATTTAATGGTTAGTCTAAAAAAACCACGCTGATTAAAAGAGGTGCAGCATAGATTATAACCTTATTGTTTATTGCACTTAACACTGATTAAAAGAGATGAAAAATATAATAATAACCCTATTGCTTTATATACTTAAAACGGACAAAGACTGTGAAAATAACTCATTTAATATGTCTGTCCGTGTATCGCATGGGATACGTACTACTTCATATATTAAATTAAAAGTTTTACTTTGAGTCATTGACACGTTTTATAGAGTTAATCAATGAATAGTTATATGTGTTTAAGAAATAAACAACTTTCATGCACTACTATATATTAAAAATCGGCATAAATAAATTTGAGATGTTATAATATAAATATACATTTTTCCTTAAAAAATATATGATAATCTGACATGCTAAACCATTAACTTGTCTCACAAAATAGTTATATTTCGCTTATGGGCTATCTCATTTTCATGGGATTCAAATNGAGTAATTATACTGTATATGCTTGATTATTATAATTTAAGGTTGATTTATTTTTATTTTTTTAGTATGTGCAAGTTGTAATTTTTATATTTTATTTTATCAAATTAAACTTTTTGTAGTCTTTATTGGTGACGATGAATGCTATTCTGCACTACAGCATTAGTCCTATGTGAGGACACCGAAAAAGTCAATATAAACTACTACCAATTATGATGTTGGGAATTGATATATATAAAGATAATTAATTGGTTATTTAATTGATAGTTATCAAATTATTAAATTAATCATTTTTTTGTATGATGCACTTGATGTGTCTTACTAGGATTGCTAAAAGAGTCTCGTGAGCTCACTTGATATAAAACTCAAAAATAATTTTTTTACGTAGTTTTCTTATCTTAGTTCGGGTTATTAAAGTTTGTGTGAGACGATAAACAAGTCAAATTTGAGTTTATTGATATGTTTATTTAATTAATTTTGATAGTATAAAATGTAAATTCAACTCGGTTCAATTTTTTTACATTTTCAATCATCAGTAGTTTCATAAAAAGCCCCTACCACCGATCTATATAGGTGTAAACGAACCAAATAGAGTCATGCTAAGAGTTATAAAAAATTATATTAAATCTTTTATTTTTCAACAGATTCTTTTCACTTCTACATCAGCTCCAATATAACATGATATCTATTACTATATAATACAGTTAAGAAAAACTATTCAAACAATTCCAAAAAAATTAATTCGTTTTCCCGCTTCATAAGTCATTTTCCCGCTTACATAATTCGTAATTTTTTTTTTAATATAATTAACATGTCCCGCCCATGCAATTTGAATGTTAGTTTCAAGAATCCAATTGATTTGAACTTCCAAAAAATCTGGAAACTAATTTCCTTACTTAATTGATTGTGTGTTTGATTCAGTCTCAAAATAAATAGTGTAGATTTGTTCAAATCCGGTCAAGGGTGTAAATTGGTTGGAAATTTCCAAATTTTGTTAACAAAATATCTGGTCAAAATCATTTTTTTATAATTGAAATTTGTATATGAAGAATCATGCAATAATTGAAAAAAGCTAATGAACATAAGATCCTACATATCGGTTAGCATTAATGGACTATTTTTTTACAATTCCAAAAAACCTTAAAAAAACTAACATATATAATTACATTCTAAATTGAACATAAAATCCTAAAATCAGATGTGCATACAATTCTTAAAAAATTCTCAAAACAATTAATTAAAACTGGATAATTGAGAATGAAAATCTCACCTTAGAAGTATCTATGTACATTAAAAAATTATTCAATTTTTAAAAATATATTTTTTTTTTATAAATAATAAAATTTATATAATAAATAGTCAAAATATATAAATATATATATAAATAGAAATTAACAGTAAAAATAAATAAATAAATGTCATATTATTATTGAATAGAATATTGTGGAGAATATAATTTCATATTTTATTAAATAAATTTATAATAGTTAAATAAAAAATCTTGATGAAAATTAAAAAAATCTTGATTATAGAAGGAATTTAGTTTTTTACATTTGCTAAATCAAAGTTGTTTAATTAGTATACACAATTCAATTCTAAAAAAAACTTGTGTGTATATTTTGTAAAATTTATACACTATTTAATTCTAAATTTATTTACATATTTTAAATTAATTACATAAATAAATATTGCTAACGTGCATTAAATATTTTTCATCACATAAAATAAAAAGAAAAAGAAGACGTACAATGTCTATAAATTTATAAATAATAATGACAATATATGACAACAAAGTTTATGACATGCTCATATTTAATATTCTGGCAAAAAACACAAGCTGATTAAACTTATTGTTTTTTAGACTTAAACGGACGGGGTCTATTGAAATAACTCATTTAATATCTCTGTCTCGTGCATAGCACGGGGTACGTACTAGTAGTTTTTAAAGGAACACAGTATAATATTTATAGCTCATGCTCTGCTGCAAATGGGGTAATCTGCTTGAGACCAATTTAAACGAAAAGGCAGATTTTTTTTTTTTTAAATAACAAAAAGCCAGTGAATTTTCGACTACCCTAGTGATTTTGATTCATTCACCCCTGTTAACCTACCCCTTGTCCTTTTTCTCAGGTACATGTGTGCTCGCAAAAGGGTCTTTAATTTTCACCCTTCCCCACCATTTTTAACTCGTAAAGCCATTGGCTTTCTTTAAAGTTGATTTTCTTTTATTTTACCTTTTTACTCTTTTTATTGACATTTCTCTGTGTACCCATCTTTATCTATTTGTTTTTGTAACCTTAGACCTGGAGAATTTTGGCTTTTATGTGTTTTTTGTATGTTCCTGACGGGTCAAGTTGTCTGTCGATTTTTTAGGTTAGAATTCTTATTAATTTACTCGAATTTGTGCTCTGACGATTTCAACTTTCAGAATCTTGAAGCTTTCCTTTCACTAGTTTACCTCTTTGACTCGAAAGTT